TTCCCCTGGCCCTCTCAGGTTTCACCATATGGCTGGTGAGGTCACCCTGGCCAAGGCAGAGATGTCCTTGGGGGCAGCTGGGCCCACTCCCCTTAGCGATCGGGTTGCCAGTGTTGGTCTCAGGGAGTGACTTTGAGGCTTCTTTCTGTGCTTTTTATCTCCAGGGAGAGATTTATCCTCCCAAAGCCGAGGCTACAGGTTCCACACAGATGGTGGTTCCCTGGGGGTACCCCACAGGGCAGCTGCTACCTGTTTTGTGCTTATGCAGTGTGTCGGCTACACTTACTCATTGATGTTGGGGACTGTTCACTAGGCCAGATGCCTGGATTCGAGGCCCAGCTCTGCTACTTCTAGCTGGGTGGCTCTGGGTTAGCCAAGAGAAGTGTGTGCTGGTGGCTGGAATCGGTGCTGGTGTGTACCCAGGGGTAAGGGAAATGGATGGGGTCTGGACAGCAGGTGCTGCCACGAGTACGTACCGATGTGCATAAATGTGGAAGAAGTCATAGTAAATGGGAAGAGCAGGTTGCTGAAAACAGGTCATTTATGGAAAAGTGTGTCATCAAGCATGTACAACAGTGTCCTTTGTTGCTCCTCGAGTCACACGTGATGGTGGTAAGCGGGCAAAGGCATGTGTAGGGATGAGGAGCGCCATCTCCAGGGCGGGGGGCGCTTTGCAGGGAGGGCAGGTGCACTGGTGGCTCACCTCTCTCTGTAATGATTCATTTCTTCTTGTTTCTATATGGGGGCTTGATACTTACACGGCACGTGGGTAAAGTGCACTAACCTCAGGTGCACGTGCGTTCACCAGTGTACTCACTGCTCAGATCAAGAAGGAGAGCATTTCCAGCACCCCTGAGGGTTCCCTCGTGCCCCTTCCCAGTCTGCATCTCCCCAGATTTGACGGATTTCTTTTAAAAAATGGTTTAAAGCAAATTTGGCATAATGCTAAGGTTTGGCCAAGCTAGGCAATGATGCGTCTGGGGGTGTTGGTTAAATTTTTCTCTATCTTTTTCTGGATCCTTGATGTGTTTTTCATCCTCATCATCATAGAAAGAAGAGGAGGACTTGGGCAGACGCAGGCAGGGGTGCGAACGTGGATACGGCATGGACAGAGGTTCCGTGGCCGAAACAGAGTCTCAGGCAGCCCTGGCAATCTTGAGAATGGTCTCATCTCCAAGGGAGGTTTCCAGGATGAGAGCTACTTTTGGCTGAGTGTCCCAGAGCTGTCAGGGCTGGGACGAGGAGTCGCCCCAGCGGGTTTCTTCAACCACCCGCCCGCACGGAGGGCATTGGCACCGCCTGGAAAAGCCGGTTGTGCCGTGGGTAGCGTGAGGGCTGGCGCGGAGCTCCAGCCTGGCCATTCTTTCCATGTCACGAGCTGCTCATTGAACCCATCACACTGGCCTGTTTGCGGCTCCTCTGTGGGTGGCCTGAGCCTCTCATTGTCCCGGCACAATAGCGGTGGCCGTGCTCGTGTGAAGAAACCGGGACAGGAAGCCCCGATCTAGGTCAGCCTCGCTGCACTCCCAGCCTCCTGCTCTCCCCGGCTGTGCTGGGTGAGGCTGCCTTTGTCTCCAGTCTGGGGAGGCTGGAGGCTGAACTTCCCGCAGCGTCACAGGCCCTGTTAAAACATCCTCTAGGAACTCCTGTCGCCTGTGCCCTCCACCCATTGTCCTGTTAAAGATAGGTAGATCAGCAGGCTACCAAGGGGCCCAAGTCTAGGCTCCTGCCATGTGTCAAGCACTGTGCCAGGAACATTCTGTTTCTTCCTTTGCTTTCTGAGTGCTTACTGTGTGCCAGGCACTAGTCTGGGCCCTGCGGTGATGGCTGGGACCAAGAGAGACGAAGTCCCTGCCCTCAAGGAGCTCCCATTCACTTTATCCTAATATGTTCTGAATGGTAGGGCAGTATGTTCTCCATATTTGGGAAGAGTAAACTGAGACTCAGAGAGGCTAATACACTTTCTGTAGGTCACACAGCAGGAAGGAAGGGGACAGTTTAAACTCAAACCATGTTTCCAAACCTGGACTCTGTTGTTGGATTTTTTATCCCAGCCATGCTCCGTTCTTACCTTGGTCTTTCCCTTAGGAGCTGCTTAACCTCAGTCTTTTCATCTTTTAAATGGCTCTTAATGCAAGATGGGAAGGTAATAAGTGCATGAAGACAGGAGGCCCTCTTGGAGGAGGTGACATTTGAACTAAGGCCTGATGATTTAGAAGGAGCTAGTGCAGGGCAGAGCTGGGGGAGAATATCCTGCTAGTAGGAATGGTCCTGAGGAAGAAATGTGCCTGGCAGGTGAAAGGAATAGAGAGAATAAAGGTGTGGCTGAAGATTATTGAGGTGTGGGGGATGGATTGCTGGAAGGTGAGTTCAGAGAGATTAACTAGGACAAGGTTATGGGGCCTTATGGGCTGTGGAAGGATGTAGATTTTTTTTTTTTTTTAGAGTGTAATGGGAAGCCATGGATTGACAGGATCTGACGTAGATTTTAAAAGGACCCCTCTGGCCGTGCGTGTGTAGAGAAAGGACTTTGAAGGAGGGTGAAGAGGGTACAGAGAGGAGGTGACTGAATTAGTCTAGGCAGGAGATGATGGTGGCTTGGACCCGACCCGGTGGGTAGCTGAGGAGGTGAGGAGAAGTGGTTGGATTTTTAATATATGTTGAAGGTGAAGCTGATGGCATTTGCTCATGGATGGACATGGAGTGTCAGAGAGAGAGAGAGGGTCTAAGATGACTCGGGGTGGGGGCTTTTGACTACAGCCCCTGGACGGCAGAGGAGCTATTAATTAGGCTGGGAAAAGCTGGGTGGTGTGGGTTTGGAGGGCAGATCAGGAACTAGGTTTTGGACGGGTTAGATTTGAGATGCCCCTTGGACATCCAGATGCGGATGTCGAGTCAGCAGAAATCCAGGTGAGAGTCTGGATATCGGGAGAAGTCGAGGCTGGGATGTAAACACGAGCCAAGGGGACTGGTAGAGATTGCCCTGTGGTGAGTGGGCAGAAGCAAAGTCACCTTGCTCTGTGTCCCTGACTTTCCTCTGTGACCTGACATGTGGAGCGCCAGTGTGCCACCTCTTAGGAAATCTGAGTCTGCAGGGGCCAACTCCCTGTGACAGTCACGGGCATCCCTCCCAGTGAGGGGAAAGGATCTGACAGTCATCTGTGGAGGGCCAGCCTCCTCTCTGCCACCTGCCCCTGCTTCCCTTCGTCTTGGACTGTCCCTGCCATTTCCCTGTCACTCCGATCTCTCCAGACAAGTGTGGTTGGATGAGACATGCTCTTAATTAACCTGCAGCGGAGCTCTGTGACAGAGACAGTGTGTACTCACCTAGCCTTCCCCTCCTGGAGCCCCCATGCCCATAATCAGCCACAGCAGAGCGGGTGATGAGCAGGCCACCATACCTCATCATAGTCCTATAGCCGTGACAGGACCATGAAGTAATTTTCACGGCATCTCCACGTGGTTGCTGCCAGGTCACCCTGCGCCAGACTCTAGCATCCGGGCAAACCAGGCAGCGTGCTGTGCGTGGCTGGCCTTGGTCTCCCTCTGGTGCTGTCTCCCATCTCCTTTCTGCTCCATGTCTGTTCTGTCCCCTCAGCCTCTCCGTGGGACCTTCTCAGTAGCTTTTCCTCCGTCCGCTCTCCCAACCACACCTGCCAGGCCACCATCATCTCTCGGTACTGCTGCAGCCCTCCTCTCTGGTCCCCCCACTTTCATGCTTGACCCCTAAAATGTAGTTCCTGGCACCAACAGAGGGCTCTTTTGCCAACGTTTAAAACTCAGGAGAGTTTGCTTTTAAGAAATCCTAATTTCTGGCTCCTCTCTTGGAAAAAAAAGAAAACCTAGAACATCTGGTGATAGCGGACCTGCTGTCCTCCCACTTTCCACACTCAGAGGGGATGAGAGGCTGCCCCCGCCCCCCGTCAGAGGGATGTCTGCTGCCCATTCCCCACAGCACCCCCGCTCCCCTCCATTGTCGTCTGTCGAATCACTGAGGAGAGAAATGCTTTCTCTGTTCTAAGCCCCTGAAAAATGTGGCAGAACGATTGTGGTCCATCCGTCCTGTAGGATGCTGGACAGCGGCGCCAAAGGACAAACATGAGGATGCTCCCCGTATAACGATTTGGAGAGATCTCTAAGCCGTATGAAGTAGAAAAAGCAGGGGCAGCACATCCTATTTTTTGGAATGTAAAAAGGGAGAGAAATGACTATATGTGTGTATTATGTACGTACATACACGTGTGTGCATATATGTATATATTTATACATTTACATGCGTGTTTATGTTTCCAGCTTTGTTGAGATATATTTGATGTATAACATTGAGTAAGTTTGAGTTGTACAGGGAGTTGATTTAACACTCACGTATGTTGTAAAATGATCACCACCACGGTGTAACTTTCAAGTGCATGATACAGTATTATTAACGATAATCGCAGTGCTGCACGTTAGATCCCCAGAGCTTTCATCTCATAACTGGAATTTTGACGTGCGTGTGTGTAGTTTTACATAAAGATCCGGCAGGATATACTAGAGACTAGCAGCAGTGGTTCTGTTGGGGGTGGGGAAGGAACTGGACGGATGGGGTTCTGGATGTCGGAGGGAGACTTTCCGGTTTTTGACTTTCTGTATTTTTGACTTTTGAGCCATGTGAATGTGTTATTATTTAGAATTTACATTTTTTAAAAAAAAGGAATAAAAGGGAAAATGAATTGTAGTCTGAGAGGGGCCCCGTGGGTGATGAAACAGATGTGAGTTTATCTCTTCTAGGGCAGGGCTTTGTGGTGTTCTCTGCGTAGGGCGTAGTAGATGCTCGAGAAACGTTTGTCGGCTGAATGGTGGAGTGGGTTTTTCTTTATTCCCATCTCCCTGGACCCTGGTACTTCCCAGGTCCTTGTTGGCATTTGAACTTGGAACCCTTCTTACAGGCTGTCCCTGGGTTGTCAA